CTGGTATTTTATGTGCCAGGAAAATGTCATAACCGGCGCCATTAAGAAAACTGGAAATTTCGCCTTCTTCAACCGGAGTTGATTTTAAATATTTGTGAACCGAACTAAATGCAGAAATCAGAATTCGGAAGCACAATGTCTTCAGTACTCACCAATATCGCTGAAAAGAAAATATCACTTCACATTTCGTTACAGGACTTGCAAGATTTTAAAATGCACGAAATAATAACAAATCTCATCAGTCCGATAAAATGTTTTCAACGAATTGTGTATTTTATAAATGAACCATAGAAACGATATTGGTAAATACTGTTATTATTCATAACTTGTGACTTTGAAATTTAATTCGAGAATGCCGCCTCCCGCTGGAGGCGGCGATTTCCCAGTTTTCGTAATGGCGTCGATTCTGACATTCTCCAGGCACGTAAAATCGTAAAAAAGCCCGGAAAACGTCACTCAGATATTTCGGACTTAATCTGAGTATGAATGGTATCCTCTGGGATATATCAAAAACATAAAAACCGATAGTTGGGGGCATTTTGTCGTGAACTTCTTGTTTTATTGTTATAGATAAGTTGTCCCAAACAAGTAGACGAGCAAAAATTGTTAATGCTTTGCCTATAGTCTTTTCAATATATTTTAAAGTATCAGTACAATATTGATAAAACAACAGATTTTATAATCAATATTATCACTGTGAACCAGTAATACATTTGTGCTTTCAATAATTAAAATTTTTCAAATTGTGATAATAACCAAACAGAAAATTTGCAAACTTTTGAACATGATGATAGTTGCTATAAAGGCTTCATTCAAAACTGGATATTTTTCTATTGCATCATGTCACTTTTGTTTGTGTCAATTGTTTGGACAAAGTTTGTCAAAATTGCATTGATTGTTTGATTGTACAATGTATGTTGTTTTACGCCTCCTTTTTCACTCATTTAGAAACGTCATACATTGTAATACTGGACACAGAAAAAAGGCTTCGCATTTATACCTTTACTCGGGCGTGCCAACCCATACCTTAACACGGGGCCTCGATCTCAGAGAATGAAGACTTGATCTTCATAGAATTCATTACAAATTAATCATCAAGCAGGAATGGATCCAGTGCAATGAAACAGTTTAAGATAGAGAACACTGATCTGTTTCAAAATATCTGTAAACAATGCAAATATGCCAAAGAGTGAATAAATTCGAAGAATATTGAAAATCAGTATTAATATTTGAAAGCTTAAAAAGACACAAAACATTTCATTAGGCAGCTTTACTTTGTTATGCATACTTGACAGAAAAACAAATAAAATGATAATTAGTATTAAAAAATTAAATGACTAATCTATTGAACTTCATTATTATTTATACATTTTACCCTTAGAAAATTTTAAATAAATAATTGTACTGTGAATGCCATAGGAACAAAAATGTTGAATTTAAAAAGAATAAAATTAAAAACAAGAGGCCCATGGGCCTTTTAGGTCACCTGAGCATTATGCAACAACTTTCCAGTGATTGAATTTGATTCATGTTTTAATCCAGATGCTATGGCATTCACAATTTTGAAAGAGGCACCAATGATCATCATAACAATACACTTAGCAGTTGCTTAATTTGTTTACTTAATACCCATAGGCAGGGTAGGGGGAAAATGCATTTCAAGTAATCAGTAATATTCAGCATGATCAGTAATGCCCAAATCACACATGAACCCCTGACCCTTAGGCCTAGATCCACACATTGCACAATTTTTGAAAAGGCACCCTTGCTTTTCAAAAATATTTGATTAATACCAAGGAGCAGATTTCAAACAATTCATCAAGTTTCAGTATTTAAGTACAGCCCCCCTCCTTTATGGTACCCCTGACCCTGGGGCCTTGAAATTTAGAGGCACCCTTGCTCATCATAACTATGCACTTATTTAGTTTATTTGATACCCAGGAGTAGAGAAGAAGATTTTCAAAGAATTCATGTAATTTCACTATATATATTGTATATAGAGCCCCCCCCCCTTTACACCAGAACCACTGACCCTGGGGCCGTAAAATTCACATTTTTGGAAGAGGCACTCTTGCTCATCATAACTATGCACTTAGTTAGTTTATTTAATACCCAGGAGCAGAGAAGAAGATTTTGAAAGAATTCAAGTAATTTCACTATATAATCTATAGAGCCCCCTCCCCCCCCTTACACCAGAACCCCTGACTCTAGGGCCATAAAATTCACATTTTTGGAAGAGACACTGTTGCTCATCATAACTATGTACTTTAGTTTATTTAATATCCAGGAGCAGAGAAGAAGATTTTGAATGACTTCTAATTATTTCACTATATAATCTATAGAGCCGCCCGCCCCCCCCCCCCTCTTACACCAGAACCCCTGACCCTGGGGCCATAAAATTCACAATTTTGGTAGAGGCACTCTTGCTCATCATAACTATGCACTTAGTTAGTTTATTTAATACCCAGGAGCAGAGAAGAAGATTTTCAAAGAATTCATGTAATTTCACTATTATAATCTAAAGAGCCCCACCCTAACACCAGAACCCCTGACCCCGGGGCCATAAAATTCACAATTTTGGTAGAGGCACTCTTGCTCATCATAACTATGTACTTAATAGGTTTATTTAATACCCAGTAGCAGAGAAGAAGATTTTCAAAGAAATAATGCATTTTCACTATATACTTATTTAGCCCCGCCCTAGCACTAGAACCCATGACCCCGGGGTCCTGAATTTCACAATTTTGGTAGAGGACTCAATGCTGATTACAATCATGCAAACAGTTTGACTGCTTGATGTCCAAGAGTAAAGAAGAAGATTTTTAAAGATTGCACTAATTTTAGTGGTTTTTGCCCCACCTCCCAGGCCCCAGGGGGGCAGGGACCATGAAATTCACAATTTTTGTTCCCCTTTACCCATAGATGCTATATGCCAAATTTGGTTGAAATTGGTTCAGTGGTTTCAGAGAAGAAGCTGAAAATGTTCAAATGTTAACGCACGACGAACGACGACGGACGAAAAGTGATAGCAATAGGTCACCTGACTTTACTCAGGTGACCTAAAAAACCTCTTAAACCGTCCTCATCCTTGTTACGTTTCACCGAGGGATAGAACAAGGAGGACAATACTTATTGCAGCCCGGAGGACCGGGCTGCTCTTTACATATAAGTTTAAGTCTTGGTGTATGGGGATTGGGGTGGGAGTAGTTATTTAGAATGAAAGGTTTTCTAAACATTGAAAAGATTGTTGATCAAAAGTTTTTTCTCTTTATAGATAACGAGATACATAATATATTAACTTCCATAAAGTGAATCTGTAAAAATATATATGTTTTTCATATTTAATATGTAAAGTTGCTTATCATTCACTATCGAAAAAACGACAGGTCCCTTTTTTTTAAAACAATGAATTTTACTTCTTGCATAAAAACGTACTCTGCACAGCCCGTGTTTTATATTCTAAAATTGAAAAATAATTCATCTTTGAATATGGGTGATGCATGTGTCTAACTTCAATTTATATTTCATGCAGCCAACATTTACTTGAGGAATTGATCAAGTTTAAAATGGTATCGTTTTTGTTTGATTTTTATCCGACTGTAAGTTTTCAAAATATTCGCGACTATCGTTTCCATCAATAAGACGCACGCTTTTCGCATATATCGAAGCGGTTTGATGATCAAGATTCATTTTTCACTGTTTACTTTACATATTTCCCGGGCGACAATTGATGGTTATATCAATGTTTTCTTGTTATCTATTTGTGGTTGTGTACGGATGTGTACATGGGGAATTTCGGCGTTATCATTTCATTGTCTCGGTGAATAAGTTTTTATTGATAACAAACATAAAAGCCATGAGTAAAAGTTTTTTTTTAAATCGCTTTATCTTTATCTCAATGGTTGTTAATAGGTTTCAAATTGTTTGTCATTTCTCTTCAGATATTCATTAATTTATGATTTAAGATCAGACGACACGTTCCTCAAAAATATATGATTTTTCATAGGAATGTGTCATTGAAGTAAAATGTACTTTATCAAGTTTCCTCATAAAAACTAGGGTACCTACCAGGCACAGGGTAATATTTCTTATATACCCCTAATGGGTAATCTCTTGAATGGCCTTTATCACAATTTTGGGTGTACTTATATCTAAAAACATTTTGAAAACAATGTAGAATTAGAAGCGAATGACAACATATAAATAATTTATGATATAATACCAAGAGAAACAGGATATATATTTGAGGAACTTTGTGTCAGACCCTTAAAAAGTCGCTGAAACTGCTCTCCAAGAAGAGCGTGCATAAGATATAGAGCTAAAACTTATTGAGTCTCCCGATATGAATAAAAGTGCCTAAAATGATAAATAAATAAATTGTAAAAGAAGTGAATATTGTTTTGAATACATTAATTACAGTTGCCAACGACACAATGATTTTTCTATTACACTTCACATGTTCTGACAAAACATCGGCTTTATTACTTGACAAAAATTCGTGTCTTTTTTGTCAACATTTAGACATTCATAATAAGTCATTTTAGCATTTGTACATGTTGCATTTGTGTTTTAGTCAAATAATTCTATGGTGATACCACGTGTACCCAACTTTTATAAATATCAATTTATTTACTTCGTTTGTTCACATTGAAATTTAAATTATAAAAATTGCACAGAGAATTAAAGCAATGGAACAGTTGTCTACAGAAATGTACCATGCATTGTACATAACTTTTTGATATTGAAATTTTCCCTAGGATTCCTTTTTTGTGAAAATTCTTTAAAAGCCTAAATGATATTTTTTCGCGGCTTTGTATTAATTTGACTTGTCAGTTGAAATAAGCATTTAAAATTTCGACAGTTTTTTTTTATGTTATTTCGGAATTAAATGTACATATTCTTATTCAACTTCAAATTCATTGTTTGTCCAGAATGTTAGAAAGACAGATTTATGTATATGATGATTATGAAAAAATTCCTCTCGTAAAATGGATACTTACCAAACATTGAAGACACAAGTGTATTCTGAGAGTTTTCCAGGTTTAACACCGACTTTGATATATTTGCGCCAGAAACAAGTAAATCATTATTTAAATTTTCCAGAGAAGTATTTAAGTTTGTTGACAGAATCTCATACTTTTGCTCTATCAATTCAGGAATACTCTTGTCTAGTTCCAAAGTATGTTTATTCAGGTTCAGAAGAGTAACTGATAGATATCGAACTTCAACTTTCAGGTCTCCAAGTATCGCACTGGTGTTTTTCTCAAAAGCTTCTCTCTTAACTTCTAATTGTTCTTCAAACTCAAGAAAACGGCCATTTATTTGAGTGAAGTTTTCTTTAATTGTATTGATTATTTCTTCATACCGTCTATTGTTCAGTTTTAAGTTCTCGTTTTCGTGTTTAAGTTCGTTTACTTCCTTTTGCAATGCTATCACCTTTACTTCTGTTTTCTGCTGTGATGATTCCAGTATCTCAATACTTTGTTTCAGGTCGACCATGTCTTTCATCAGTGAGTGCACATTTTTCACTAATCCTATTCTTATGATCGTTTCCTGGTTCAGAAGTTGTCTAAAAACATCAACATTTTTAGCATCAATATCATTTGTGTCAAGGTGAGTTATATTTTGGCCACCGTTTTCTGTGACTATAGAAAAACCATGAACCTGATGAAAACTGAGGAGAGCAAACGCAAGACCAATAGCGTTCATCATGAATGCCATGAGACTAAACACAAAGTGATTGTTTCCATAAGCATGTTTTCATTTTTCTAGTTCTACGAAGATTTCTGACATTATTATATTAGTGTAACCAATACCTTTTAAATAAAATGACTGGTGTGCTGCATATTACCTTGTGGATTTCTTCATGATTATTGAGTTAATATTTATAACTTAATGAAGCAGATTTCTAAACAGATTTGTTACAGACTTCCAGGTCTATTCTTGCATCATTATATTATTAGATTAAATAAACCAACACAAAAAAGATTTATGTTTTAAATGATTTTGTCACGCTGATGTGAATCTGATAACGCCAAAAAAAAGAAAACCCATCACTCTGTGTACATGTGTTTAAAATATGTATATGTACAGACGGTAGATGTATTAACTTCATTGATTCAATCATGTCAAAGTTTATATCTGCTCACATTTTCCGAACCTCTATAGAAAATAGAGTGGAATCATGATACTTTTGAAAAACAATTATGTGTTACACTTAAAACTCACAAAATCTGCACAGTTTTAAGTTCAAGTTCTAATTTTCAATTAAAGTACCTAGTTTTTCAAGCTCTTAAATTAATAGCATGAGTTTCCAAAATGTAATTAATTTAAGAATGTGACCTGACAATCTACCCCACTAACATTCCTCGAAGAAAAAGCTGATTACGTAACATGTAAGTATAGAGGGTATAACAAAAAAAAAAGAAGACACATCTGGGTTTTCTTTCAGGACCGTAACGGATATGTATCTATAGCAAAATAATATTTTCTGCATATTTACTAGGGTATGAAACTTTACTTTAATTCCACTTCTATATATATATTCAATGAAGTAAAATGTATAAATAAAATAAATGGATATAAAAACATAAAACAGTATATGTACAGATGTCATGATCATTGTAACAAGCATTTTGAGAGAATTGCATTAGCAATACTAGTCCCCTACAAGAAGGTGTAATCTTGTTGCCATTAAAAATTTATAAGGTTATAATTCCCGCAAAAATCACGAAAGCGACACAAAATCCAGTCTTCATTAGTAACTTATTAAAATACACTTACATTTTAAAAAATCAGCTCAATATCTGCACGCATTTATGAAAAAAGTGCGGTAAACTCTTAAACATTAAAGATGCCGTACTTCCCTGAAAAATAAGTCAATGAAGCAGAACAAAATTCAAAGTTGATCAGTAATTAATAAAGATACGTGCCCATTTTCATACTAAAAATCAACATAATATCTGCAAGCGTTTAGAAAAAACAATGCGGAAAACAATTAGTCTGACAGACTGAAAGTCACAAAGAGGGACAGATTCAGAAGAGACCTATATATCCTCTGGTGAAACCGTCAGGGGACTAACAAGCCAGAAAATAAATATTTAAGGTAGAATGCAACACCAATTTTTTATTTTATGGATCTTTGAGTCATTCTTTTTAAACAATGGTTTCAGCATTGAAAGGCCGACATTAGCTCTTAATTATTTTATATGATTTTTTTTTGTAAGTTTTCAAAGAAAACGAAAAGAATTCATTACATCCAAACTAAGTGATTTCTTGTAAAATTTTTGCTGTAAATGAATGCATCACATGAATACCTTATAAAATATGTAAAGAAAGTCTGGTTAGACTTTTTAATCTTTTTTATAAAAAATTATTTATGAAAATAAAACACATTATTTGTGAATATTTTTTAAACCTATGGTTAAAAACACCATAAAACTAGTCACAACTAAGGACAACATGTTTATCAATCATATTTTAAAAAGAAATTGAAACGAAATTGAGAAATTTTAGAAAAATTAATTTTTTTAATATTTGGACCTAACCCGATCAAAATTAAACGGATCCCGATCAAAATTAACACTAAATGAATAAAATGCAAATTTTTTGCCTCTTCAAGTATTTACAATGAAGAAATCTATTTTATTGTCAGGTTCTATAATGTTTTAACCCTTATAACACCTAATCAGACTAGTGTTTTTAGGAAAATGCTATTTATTTCCAATAATTGTACAATTATGGTCGGGATCGGTTTAATTTTGCTCGGGATTGGCCAAAATTAAAAAAAATTAATTTCTCTAAAATTTCTCAATTTCGTTTGAATTTCTTTTATAAATATGATTAATGAACATGTTCTCCCCAGTTGTGGCTTGTTTTAAGAAGATTTTAACCACAAGTTTAAAAAATATTCATAAATTAAGTGTTTTATTTTCATAAATAATTTTTTATAAAAAAAATTTAAAAGTATAACCAAACTTTCTTAGCATATTTTATTAGGTATTCATGTGATGCATTCATTTACAGCAAAAATTTTACAAGAAAGCATTTAATTTGGATGTAATGAATTTTTTTCGTTTTCTTTGAAAAAATACAAAAAAATTCATGTAAAGTAAATAAGAGCTTATGTCGGCCTTTCAATGCCGAAACCATTGTTTTAAAACGTTGACTCAGAGATCTACAAAATAAAAAGTTGGTGTGGCATTCCTCCTTAAATTTGAAAGTATTGCATTAGCAATCCACCAGCAAATGTAATGTGGTTAAAATTAAAAAATATTTCACCAGCTAGGGTAAACTAACATAATGTAAAATTCAGATCAATATCAATATTCTGCAAGCCTTTCGGGAAAATTGCGGAAAACCCCTAACAATTTAAAATACTGTTATTCCGTCAAAAATAATTAAAGCCGAACGAAATGCAAAGTTGATCTGGAACACATCAAAATTAGTTCAACAAACATTTTGAGGGTATTGCATTAACTTACTAGTTCCCTACCGACAAGTGTTATCTTGTTCCCAATAAAAATGCCGTAATTCCGTCAAAAATCATTGAAGAGGAACATAATTCGAACTTGGTCTGTACGTAACTCATCAAGATACACTCACATACCATAAATCAGCTGAATATCTGCAATCGGTTAGAAAAGAAAAAACCAAATGGGACAGACTCACAGACAGATGGACAGCTACACAGACAGACAAATGGACGAATAGATTCAGAGGAATCCCTATAGTCTCCTCTGGTTTCACTGTTAGGGGACTAATAAAGCGACTGATTTATTGATTGTATGATGTTTAACGTCCCATTCGAGAATTCTTCACACACGTATATATATATATATATCCAATGAAAAAAAGTCAGAAATCACAAATCTCGAAAATCATTTTTACTGTTAGCGCTTTCTGCCTAATGGCTCTTCAGACAGTTAAAAGTTAAATATAAAATTGCTTAGTAACGTTCATAAGCACGACGTCAAGTATTGTCCATTGTGACGTCATAATAACGTTAAAAGGTAGCATTATAATTCGCACCGTTACAATCACTTAAATAAACCAAAAAACAAGTAGAAAATAACTTTAGTTAAAACTGAAGTAATTATTTTCTGTTAAGTTTTGGATTAAATAGTTTAATGAAGTAGTCCTCCTTTGCTACTCTGGATATTTCACAGTCATTGTGCATTTTATAAAATGGAAATAATTTAAATTTCCCTTTCCCACAGGTAGCAAAGTGCTCACTGCACGGCGTATTCCTTACGCTAGGGTCCCGAATTTGTTGTTTATGGACTCGCACTCGTGCGTTCAGTTTGCCGGTTTGTCCTATGTAGTTTTCATCACAGGTCGGACAGGTTATGCAGTAAATAACATTTTAAATTGAAAAAGCAAAAAACATTCCTACTTCTGTACTAAGAAACACTCGCCGCAAGGATGATAGTGAAAAAAGCGACATCCCTTTTGTTGTGACGCACAATCCACGCAACCACAATATTTTAAGATCAGCCAGGAGATTTTTTCCCATTTTAGAACAATCTCAGAATCTAAAAGACATCATCAAGGAGTCTCAAATTATTAATAGCAGAAGACAGGCACCCAATCTGAAGAAAATCCTAACCAGAGCAAGATTTGCAACAATCAATGCCAAAGTCGTCAAAAAGTGCCGTGACCCACGTTGTGGAACATGTGAATATCTGGAGGAGGGAAGCGAAAAAACTTTAAAATGTGGTAAAAAATTAACACCAAACGCCAACATGACCTGTAAATCAGAAAATGTTATTTACTGCATAACCTGTCCGACCTGTGATGAAAACTACATAGGACAAACCGGCAAACTGAACGCACGAGTGCGAGTCCATAAACAACAAATTCGGGACCCTAGCGTAAGGAATACGCCGTGCAGTGAGCACTTTGCTACCTGTGGGAAAGGGAAATTTAAATTATTTCCATTTTATAAAATGCACAATGACTGTGAAATATCCAGAGTAGCAAAGGAGGACTACTTCATTAAACTATTTAATCCAAAACTTAACAGAAAATAATTACTTCAGTTTTAACTAAAGTTATTTTCTACTTGTTTTTCGTTTATTTAAGTGATTGTAACGGTGCGAATTATAATGCTACCTTTTAACGTTATTATGACGTCACAATGGACAATACTTGACGTCGTGCTTATGAACGTTACTAAGCAATTTTATATTTAACTTTTAACTGTCTGAAGAGCCATTAGGCAGAAAGCGCTAACAGTAAAAATGATTTTCGAGATTTGTGATTTCTGACTTTTTTTCATTGGATATATTTTACTGTACCAAAACACTGGATTTTTCTTAAATTATATATATATATATATATATATATATATATATATATATATATATATATATATAGAGAGAGAGAGAGAGAGAGAGAGAGAGAGAGAGAGAGAGAGAGAGAGAGAGAGAGAGAGAGAGAGAGAGAGAGAGAGAGAGAGAGAGAGAGAGAGAGAGAGAGAGAGAGAGAGAGAGAGATGTAACTGTATTTTGTCGAAGGGGTTCAAATTAAGTCCTATACGTCATTGAGCAACGAGTATTCCTTATTGTGCCAACACCAACCGCTTGGTTAATAAGAGAGGGCTTTCTCACTCAAATCTTCGAGGCTGCATTAGTATTATCATCCTCCACTCTAAAGTTTGACAAATTCTTGTTTAATGCATTAATCGATTCAATGTTGACTTAAAATATTAACTTTGATTT